CGGTGTGTGGGCCTGCGGCCCAACTCTATGACTCTCTTCTGAGTGATCTGGCATCATCTATGGTTTGTGCATTCTTCATTTTATCTGGATCAGGCCTGGACACTTACTCACCAAACTTGGCGAATGAAAGATATGTCAGACTGCTCGCCACACAGTCGGCACAAGTTGTGGCGAGTGTTTGGCGCGTGTTTTCGGTTTCCCCGCCTGTGCACGGTGGTTTGTGGAGGGTGGTGGTCCTCGGACCTCTCCACAAAACAACTTCAACTTTCTGGAGAGTGCACGGCTTCACGAGCCGACATCAGCTAGACAATTTTTTTTTACTTTTCTGTAAAAAAAGTATAGTGGTGAGTAAGTGCACCCAGGCCTCCAGTTCGACATCATTCTCATTTTTTTCACTCTCCACCCATCCGCCACGAATTGTGGCGGATGGCGAGTAGTGCAACTAGGCCCGTAGGCACCGAGCACTGTCGTCTAAGATACCGTTGGCGAAAATAGAAGCTGACTATCACCCACGCACACCTGACGGAAGACACCACAGACTGTAGGTTCACACCACCATCAGGAGGCAGCAAATCTCCTACAAAAATACAGAAAAGTCTTCCACAGCCAGGAAATACACTCCAGAGTAGACACATAGCACATGACCGCCAAATAATCGTGCACAGCAAATGGCTGTCATTAGCAGCTCTAATCACTGCCACTCCAAACTTGATGATAACTTTATAAGCAAGCTGTTGCAGCAAGCTAGCGAAGTTGTTAATTTTTATTCGATAAGTATTGTCACAGAGAAATGCCCAGTGAAACATTCTCAGAAAAGGAGGCTCAACTACAGGGGACCTTAGGCAGAACGGGAGAAAGGACAAGCGACAGGGGTCTGTGACGGACTGTGTTTTCGTCATAGTGTTGCTGACTTCTCATGAGCCTCCACCAAGTTTCCTTCTCTGAAATCTTTTTTTTTTTTTTTTTTTTTTTTTTTCAGACACACACACAGCCCCTTCCTATTCTGGGGGCCGCACCAGTCCGGTTGCTTTTCCCCGGAAAGCCAAAATGTACAATATGAACAGTTCCTGGACCCGAGAAAAGCGTGGGAGGGAGGGGAGGCTGTTGTAAATGACCGGGAGACTCCCATTGGTACCCAAACGCTGCCCACCAAGGCACTCCTCGTGCTTCCCCCCTTCCCGCCACTTCATGGCCCTTGTTCATCCTACCATCCTCCCATTTCCCCTGCTATCCTATACCCACCTATGCATGCATCTCCCCTTCTTCACTTGCCTGCTAGTTGCCAATTGTTCTTCACCAATCCAACAGCTGCTCAGTCCAATATTATTCTCGTTCCCAAAAAAAAAAAAAAAAAAAAAAAAAATTCTCGTAGCTTCATCCTCGTGGCCTGTGTTGTATTCCGTATGTTGCTTCCCATTTGGCTTTAGGCCCAATTCCCGTCATTATAGCTATATAGGTCGCAGATATGGTTCGCATACCTTCCATAATGCTCTTATTTAAGTTTTTTTTTTTGATAAAGGCCTTCAAGGCTCATTTTTTCCTTCTACTGTGGCAACCAAGTGCCCTTTGGGCCGTTGCCACAGTCTCCGAACCAGAATGGGGAGAAGCGTCTTTCCTCGTCCTTCAAAAATAAGCCCCTACTATATCGCTCACATAACTTAAAAAAAAAAAAAAAAAAAAAAAAAAAAAAAAAAAAAAAAAAAAAAAA